TTTATGATTCTTATTGAATATAGCCTAATTACTTTTCAGAAGGATTGTATCACTTTACATATCTCCTGATGAATCTCACGTCTTTCTTAAAACTGAAAAAAGTTCTCTCTTTTTATAATCAAGGTGTTATGTCTTCATTAAAGAATATTTGGAGGCCAGGTGTGGTGGCTCATGCCTGTAATCCCAGCATTTTGGGAGGCCGAGGCGGGTTGATCACTTGAGGTTAAGAGTTTGAGACCAGCCTGGCCAACATGGCAAAACCAAGTCTCTACTAAAAATGCAAAAATTAGCCAGATGTTGTGGCATGCACCTGTAGTCACAGCTACTTGGGAGGCTGAGGCATGAGAATTGCTTGAACCCGGGATGTGGAGGTTGCAGTGAGCCGAGATGGTGCCACTGTCCTCCAGCCTGGGGGACAGAGGGAGACTCTGTCTCAACAACAACAAAAAAGAAAAAGAAAAAGAAAAAAAACCCAAAAAACAAAAAACCAACCAACCAAACAAACAAAAGAATATAAGGGAAATGTAAAAAGAGCCAAAGAAAAAAATCACTCAGAGTCTCATAAATAGAAACACAACTTAATCATTGTGGTTCTGCTGAGACTTGATTATGAAAAAAAGAAAAAATAACTGTGTTTCAATTAATAAGAATTGATCAATTCTGGCCAGGTGCGGTGGCTCATGCCTGTAATCCCAGCACTTTGGGAGGCTTAGGCGGGCGGATCACAAGGTCAGGAGTTCAAGACCAGCCTGACCAACTTGGTGAAACCCGTTTCTACTGAAAATACAAAAATTAGCTGGGCATGGTGGTGCATCCCTATAACCCCATCTACTCTGGAGGTTGAGTCAGGAGAATTGCTTGAACCAGGACCTGGGAGGCGGAGGTTGCAGTGAGCCGAGATTGTACCACTGTACTCCAGCCTGGGCTACAGAGCGAGACTCCGACTCAAAAAAAAAAAAAAGAAAAGAAAAGAATGGATCAATTCTCATAAATATTTCATTAATAATACACTTCTTTCCAATATTTGTCTTTCTGTGTATATGTATACAAACTTCTTAAAAAACATAGCTATGATGTTGGAATTTCTTGGAACTGTTTTATTTATTTTAATTTTTTTTAAAACTGAGTTTCACTCTTATTGCCTGGGCTGGAGTGCAATGGCATGATTTTGGCTCAAGACAACCTCTGCCTCCCAGGTTCAAGCAGTTCTCCTGCCTCAGCCTCCCAATTAGCTGGGATTACAGGCACGTGCAACCACGCCCCGCTAATTTTGTATTTTTAGTAAAGATGGGGTTTCTCCATGTTGGTCAGGCTGGTTTCAAACTCCCGACTTCAGGTGATTCACCTGCCTCAGCCTCCCAAAGTGCTGGGATTATAGGCATGAGCCACTGCGCTTAGGACGCCTCATATTTTGGGATATACAGGAGAACATTATAGATTGTGTTTATCTTGGGATGGTTCCCATCCTGTTTCCCCAAGTGATTACTGATGTCACTCAGAACCTGGAGGCCTGGCTGGGTCCTTCCCCGGATGCTGAGTGTCAGGGGACAATGTGGGGAGTGTGGCCTGAGATCCTTGACCACAAACGCGTCATCTTGATTCTTCCTACCAGACTCTAGTCTGAGGAATTCACTAGAAAATGATCGTAAGGTGAGGTTTTATGACAACACAGCTTTATAATCCAATTAATTGATGTTGGTTACAAGCAGAATATTTTTCTCTTTAAAAATTAATTCACATAAGTTACTACCATTTCTGCCTTCATGGACTTTGTCTTCAAGCTCTGGTACTTGGCATAGACAATGCTAAGAAACCACGTAGAAATCCAGGGACGTCTGGCTCTGAAAAGAGGAGAATGGGGAGTGTTTCAACCTATGTTCTTAGAAGGTAATTGGCTGCTTTCCATTTTGATAAATACCTACAGTAGAAGCCCTAGGGCTATTAGCAATAAGAAAAAAACCCAAATTCCCTAAAATAAAATATGCTCACATTGGTAACCCATTCCAATATTAACAATAAAAGAAAAATCTCATTTTCCTTCGATGTTTTACATTGTTTTGCTTGAAGGGAGGAGAGGAACTGAGTTAGCATCTGGAATAAAACACTCCAAACTGGACTAGGTGAAACAGGAATCCATTGGCTCAGGCAGCTGGCAAGTACAGAGTGTAGGCTCAGGCATGGCTAGATTCAGGACCTCATCTCTGCCTTTCTCTTACAGGCTGACTTCATTTTTAGGGAAAGCCTTCATTTCTGCAGCCCCAGGAATTCTCATCTGGTCTCATTGGTCCATCCCTGGGGGAGGGGCAAGAGAGGTATACAGGGCTCTAATTGGTCAGGCTGGGCCATGTGGCTTTGGAGTGGCTTCCACTCCCAGGAAGGCTTTGGAGTCAGGGTTGAAGTCAGCTCCATGAAACTTGCTGACTGAAAGGAGAGGGAAACAGCGTCATCCCCCCAGAGAAAAACTGAGGTTAGGATTGTCCTGTCCCCACAAACCTCCTTCTCCATTCACCGAGACTCGACTGTCTTCATCAGGGACTTGCTCTAGCCAGGTTAAGCTCAAGTGGGGTTACTAAAGTGGCACAGGGAAACCCACGCACGGAAAGAACAGGGGGGCACTCAAGGAACAGGGGCCCAGAGCCATCCTCTGCAGCGGTTGCTCCATTCTCTGCTCTGCAATGCCCTTGTTAGCTTCCCAACGCCGACAGGGATGCCAGACCCAGGTCTACCCAAGGGCCTTGCAAGCTCCTGCATTTTCCCCTCTGCCATTCTTATCTCTGGGTTTCTCAGTTCAAATTTGCAAGAGAGGATCTGATTGGCCTGGCTTGGGTCAGGGGCCAAACCAAAGCCCAATCAGCTGTGGTAGATGGAGTGGAGGTGGGGCTTAGGGGGTTTCCCTCTTCCTCAGGGTTGAGGTGGGTCAATGGATTCTAGTGATTATAGGACCTGCAGATCTCAGCTGATTTTCTTTAAAAAAAACTTACTAGTGCTATTTTTTGAGGCAGGAACTTTGTGGTACAGGCTGGAGTGTAGTGGTGGGATGCTAGCCCACTGCAGCCTCAAACTCCTCATTTCAAGCCATCCTCCTTCCTTGGCTTTCCAAACAGTTGGGATTACCGGCTTGAGCCTCTGAGCCTGGCGCCAGTTACTGAGTACCTACTCTTCATGTGTTCCATTTTAAACTTACACCAACACACTGAAGCTGAGGTTCTGAGAGGCCAGACTTCTTGCTCAGGGTCAGGCGGCCAGTAAGTGAGTGAGCAGACACTAGGTGGTTAATCCAAAAAAGCACCTAGGGGAGCTGGTGAAAAGGCCCAGGATCATGTAGCACTCTCTCCAGGTTATTTATTTATTTATTTATTTTTGAGACAGTCTCACTTCGTCACCCAGGCTGGAGTGCAGTGCCTTGATCTGGACTCACTGCCCAAGTTCAAGCGATTCTCGTGCCTCAGCCTCCTGAGTAGCTGGGATTACAGGCACACACCACCATGCTCGGCTAATTTTTGTATTTTTAGTAGAGACAGGGTTTCACCATGTTGGCCAGGCTGGTCTCGAACTCCTGGCCTCAAGTGATCTGCCCACCTTGGCCTCCCAAAGTGTTGGGATTACAGGCGTGAGTCAACACGCCTGACCTCCAGGTTGGTTCTTGAAAGTGAAGTTGAGAAGTGGTGCTGGAGGGGAGGGAGCCCTTCCACATTTGTTCCCAGCCTCACAACTGGGCTGCACTGCCATCTGTTCCTAGCCCGTTGAGGTTCCTGGAGCCCCGCCTTGTCCGCCGGCCTCCCTGAGGTCCTGTCCTCCTTCTGCCCACCAGTCTCTATATGGAGGATAGGGACCACCAGGCTGGGAAGCCCGGAGTCCCCAGGCAACTCCTGGGCCTGGGAAGGTCATAGAATTCATCCTATACTAACCATGATCTTGAAGAGGGCTCTTCCTCACATTCCCAGTCACTCCTCCCCCAGCCCCTACATACGGCCTCGGCACCCTGTCCGCATCCCATTCCCACTCTGTATCAGCTGCCTTCTTCCTCAGCAACCCATCATAGCCACTTTCACATGTAATCTGCCGCCTGTTTCCCGCAGCCAGTCCTGATTGCCTCCTCCGCAGCCCCAGTTGCCTACTGCTTTAGCTGGTGTGGCAGCGGGCTGTGAGGAGTGTCCTGATTCTGTAACCCGGCACCTCCTCCACAGGGCCCTAGACACCTCAAGCCCTCGAGGACTTTTGTAGATCAAAGGCGAAGGGCGTGCAGAATCTTCATCCATCTAACAAATTAATTCTTGAAACCTGCTTCGAATGGGCCTCGCGCGGAACACAGGAGACACTCAGTGTTAAACGAGACCGCTCGCTTAGGCCCTAGCAGGGAGAAGGTGACGGTTCACTCAACACACACTAACTGGGTCCCGCAGGAGGCCAGGCCCCGGCTGGTCGCCAGTTCACCCGGGCGCCCTCGGCCGGCCTGATCTCTTCGCAAAACCCAATTCATGTTTTATTGTTTTGCTTTTTTACCTTTCAAATGCACGGAAATTGGCTGCTAGTAGCTTTACTACAGGAGAAGTCGCTAATCTGCAGTGCAAACTCTGCGCACAGGGGTTTTCTCCGCAATTGTCTAGTGCTGAGCAGGCGGGTCTGAAGCGCCAGACACAATGTATCCGCAGCCCGGGAACCACAGTCGCCGCCGCTACTCTGTATCTGCGCCACCCCGGGCGCCCAGAGTCCGCGCGGGGCCTGGGACTGCTCTCGGGGGATAGGGCCCACGCAGGCTTTGATGGGGGGCCGGGGGCCACTTCGTTCACCAAGGCGAGGCTAGGGTCCAGCGCGGGCCAGTACATCAACTCTCGTGGGATCTAGCAGCACCAAGGCCGAGCAGGAGACCCAGGAGCCGGGTGCGTCTTCCATTAGCGCAGGGACCTCAGGGTCAACGCTCAGCGAATCGGAAGGCCTCCTTCTCCTTCCAGAGCGCTGCCACTTGGGCCGAGCTTTCCAGCAAGGACCCGCGTGCCCCCGCGCACGCACACACGGTGCACACGTCAGGCCTGCGCCTCCCCGTGTCCAAGCGCACGCAGATCCTCCCGCGCGCCCGCACACTCCTGCAGGCTCCCGTGTCCGCTGCGGGGGCCGCGGGGCCGGGAAGGGTAAGAGTGCGGCTCGGGAGCGGGATGGGGACCTGGGCCCGGCCTGGTAGCTTTCCCGGGAGGGGCTTGGGGGCGGAGCGCGCCGGACAGGGCGCGCGAGAGGGAAGGCGGGTCCGCGCCGCCGCCGTCCGCACCGCCCCGCCCTTGGCCCCGCTGCTCGCTCCGCTCGGCTCCGCTCCCTGCCTCCGCGCCGCAGCCCCCGCCGTAGCCGCCGCCGAGCCCGCCGCCACCGCCTCTGAGGTAGGCGCAGCGGAAAAGGGCCCCGGCTCCCTAGCACCTCGGATGGCGGGCCGGGCGCCTGGGGAGCTGAGAGGGAGGCGCTGAGGGAGGGGCGGGCGAGGGCCAGGGCGAGGGGCCCCGGGAGCCCGGCCCAAGAGAGGGAGCGGGAGCGGTCGGCGCGGGCCTAGCTGGACAGCGGAGGGCTGAGAAGGACGCGCAGGGGGGCGCCGAGCGGGCCCGGGCTGGGGAGCGCGCGGCCGAGGGTCCGGAGACGCCTGCAGCTGGCTGCGAGAGGCGGCCCGGGCTTGCAGGCGGAAGGGCAGGGGCGGCCGCGTGGAGGCACGGCGGGCTGCGCGTCTAGGTGACCTTCCCCACCAGCGCCCACGCTCGCCAGGCTAGGCCAGGCCCCGGGGCCGGTGCGGGCCACGCTGCCGCCGTGGTAGTGAGCTCACGTGACAACCGTGGCCCCGCGCCCCCAGGCCCACACGCCTTAGCTGGCCCACGCCCGCAGCAGCTGGCGCCCGGGACCGCCCGCCTGTGCCAGAGCCTTCTGGGACGGAACGCGCTGGCCGAGAGTCGACTTAGGCCGTAGAGGCCGGAGCTCAGGCCTGGGCTGGAGGTTTGGCCTCAAAAAAGGAGGCCTCACGGGGAAGGATGTGGCCTTCTTGGCCTTAGGAGTGAGTTCTGGTTCAGTCGTTCATTCATTCGCCAAATGCGGCGGGGCATTCGGGAAACTGATTCGGAGCCTGACGTTGGAATAGAGGCCCGCAGTCCTGATGATTTGTCCAAGGTCACACAACTGGGAGGACCCCAAACCCAAGTTTTCTCGTCTTTAGAATGGGAGCAGTTGTATCTCTCCTTCGTTGAGTTTTGGGGAAGAATAAAATGAATTAACATGAAACCTTTCGAGCAGTGCTGGTATGGAGAAGGGCTAAGTACAAACGCTGACACCTTTGGGGCTTTTTGGATGAATCTAGCCCATCTCCCACAGATCATTTTGCTACACATGCATTGTGGAAAGGGTTCAATAAATGTAGCTCCTGTTTTTAAGCATTCTTACACTATTATTAACAGGCATTTGTATACCAGGTATTGAGTAACTTTAGGATAATTTATGAAAAACGTTGTAAGTCTACAAACGGACATTTTCAAGCTCGAGCAGTAAGTTTGCATGTGCAGACCTTGAATGTAGGAGCAGACCCTGGTTTGAAGGTTCGTTCCGCCTGTGGCCCCTGTCCCCTTGACTAGCCTTCCCCCTCTCCTGGGGAGGTAGGTTAAAGGGCGCCTCCATTTCCTAAATTCCTCTTCTGTTGACAAGGCCAGGGCAGACTGCCGAGGGCCTGCCTTCATTCTGCCCACGCCAGCTCTGGACCAACTGAGCTCCTAAGGGTCAGACTGAGACCCTGTGCTACTTTGTCTTCAGTGACTGGGCTGGTGCTACCTGGCACAGAGTAGGTGCTTGAGAAGGGTCTGGGGCGGGGATAAATGCACTCGTGTGTCAGAATCTACCCACCCTTATTGACAGAGTTTTACTATTCCAGTAGCAGGAACATCGTAGGTGCTCATTAGGTATATGTGGAATTATTGAAGGGGCATATAAAGGGCTGCAGGCCCAGACCATAGTCCTTTGATCCTGGCTTTTATTTTTTTATTTTTTATTTTTGGAGACAGGGTCTTGCTCTGTTGCTGGAGTACAGTGGCACCATATCAGCTCATGGCAGCTTCTGCCTCCTGGGCTCAAGCAATCCTCCCACCTCAGCCTCCCAGAGTATCTGGGATCCCAGGCACATACCACTAGGCCTGGTTAATTTTTGTATTTTTAGTAGAGATGGGGTTCTGTCATGTTGGCCAGGCTGATCACAAACTCCTGGCCTCAAGCAATCCACCTGCCTCAGCCTCCCAAAGTGCTGGCACTACAGGTGTGAGCCACCATGACCAGCCCTGGACATCCTTTTGAGGGACACAGACATCTCACTTGCAGAAAACAACCTCACCTAGCAGAGAGTCACAAATATTTAAAGAATTGTAACAATCTTGAAATAAGTGATTTAAATACATCGTCTTCCTTTGAGGGAAAGTTGTTGAACTGGTGTTTCTGGGCTTGCAGGGAGGGTGAATGGGGTTCTGCAGAAGGTGTTGGGGCTGTTACTCCTTCCCTCATGGTGGGTGGATCCATCATGGCTTGTGCTGGAGTTGTCCTGAGTATGGTGCCTGCCTCAGGCTAGTGGGGACTGCTCACTGTTGATTAGTTTTATTTCTGCTATTCTAGAGTCAGGCTGTAGGCAGGGGTTATTTGTAGCACAGAAAGCGGGACCATACAGGGATGAGGTGCCTATAGACCCCTGCCCCTGCTGAACACTAGGTGGATGTGGACAGTGAACTCCATGCTGGGGTAGTGAAGGGCATCCACTCTCCACCTTTACCAGGAAGATGCTCCGGAAGCACCGAAGTCCACTTTGCCCTTGCTGGAATTTCTCCTGGTGCAGTGTCTTCGGTGGTAGTGACTGGGAGAGGCGCATGTGTGTCTGAGGACCAGCCCAAGTCTGGAGGCCGCCCCTCCTGGTGCTCTGAGTTTCTGTAGTCTGTGGCTTTGGGCTTTCTATGGACTCCTGTGGTAACCACTGAGAAAAGGTGACCCATGGGCTCCTCCACTGGGTCTGGACACATCTCTCCATTTAACCACTTACTTAGGGGGTTTGGGATGGGTGGGACTCTAAGTTCTTTACTCAGAACTGTGCTGGAAAGAGCACTGGAGAGCAGCCTGGGCCCACAACACAGGCCTGATGAGCCGGTAAGGTCTGTCCCATGCAGGTCAAGTCACTTTCTTGTGCTTCATTTTCTCTGCCATAAAAGTATGGTTGTCATCACAGTGATTGCTGATTGAGGGCTTGCTCAGCACCTTTCTAGAGGCTCGAAGAATGTTCTGTGACGTTGAATCCACCATCCTACACACCCTGGGAGAGAGGTAGTGTGTTTCCATTTCACAGGTCAGCAGACTTGAGCACAGAGAGGCAAGGTAACCACTGTGAGCTAACAGCCTGGCAGGAGTGGAGCTGGGATTCAAGGCCCGGCCTGAGTGATGGTACTCTTGTATTGCATTTGCACTCTAGGGGACCCTTGCAAGGAGCTAGTAGATGTGAATGCCTTTTTGAAAAGTCAAAATTGCTGTTCTGATGGGACATACTATTCTTCCGCACCAATCAGAGTGAACTTGTGCGTGGCTGAGTATAGACCAGCCAGCATTGGACAATGGAGTCACCCCTATTTGTTGCAAGGACAGTGGTGCTGAGTGTCTATTATAGGGGTCAGTTTTTCCTGGGATCTGGTGGGATGCATTCTTCCAAGACCTGATCAGCTAAACAGTGCCTCATTATGGACATGAAGGACTCTGGACCCTGTGGTTTGGAGTGACCTTTTGAACTTGCCCAGCAACCATTATTATAATAAATACTCAAAATGAAAACTTTTGATAAAATACTGTGCCAGCCACTGTACTAAGTGTTGTATATTAATTAACGAGCTAATTCAGTCCTCACAGTGATGCCAATCCAGGCACTCTTTCCCCATATTAGAGCTGAAGAAAAAGGAGTGGAGAGATGGTGACTTGCCCACTAGAAAGTGGAGGGTTGGGTTAGAACTCAGGTCTATTTGACTCCCGAGGTTATCTGCCCAAGCACTGTCTGTCTGAATTCCACCTGGTCAGGCCAGGCAGTGAGTCTCCAGGGAACTTGAGGTGCCTGAGATCAGGCAGGAGTCCCAGGTGTGCCTGGAATCCAGACCATAGTGTGCCGGCTGCTAGGCCAGGTCACCTTCCCTTGATGGATGGGTGGGCAGGCTGCCCTGAGTCAGCAACCTTCTCCTGAGTCTAGGAGCTCAGTATGTAACTCAGCTATGTTGGTGGTAGCCTAGCTCTCAGGGTGTTTCAAAATAGAAGCTACCCCTGGAAATCTTTACTGCCCACTTCAGGACTGTTGTGGAAGGATGGAGGGTAGAGCAGCTGCATTAGGTACACAGACCTGCTATCAGAGCACAGGGCCATTGGCTTTGCCAGGATCCTGGAGCTTGAACCAGGGACTGTTCCCCTGGGCTCTTTCTTCCTGGCAAGAAAGAGAAAGTGCCATTGTGTATATGTGCGTGCGTGCGTGTGTGTATGAGTGAGCTGCTGTGTTCGCCCCCACATGTTGGGTTTTAGAGTTAGGCTTGCCTTCTGCTGGGGAAGTTGCTTTTCCTGGTTCTCAGGGCCAGGAAGAGGTGCTGTTGCTGTGATCCATGGCTGGTTTGATGCCCCTCCTATAGGCTGGTCCAGTTCTGCCCTGGCAGACCACCTAGAATGGTGTTGGTGAAACAGTGGAGCCAGAGACTTCTCCACAGTACTCTCTTCCTTAGCAGAATCCTAAGGTGATGGCAATGATGGTGATGATGATTGTGATTGCGCTGTTCCTTAGGGTCCTTTCAGGGATCTGGTGCACACTTAGACTTGGTAATCCAAGAGAGTTTAATGAAGACATCATTTGCAAAGCTGTGTACAGGGTGTCCGGTCTGGTCTGTTAACACCCTGAGGCCTGCAAGAAAGGGAGCTTCTTGGCAGGAGCTGTGACCTTGGGTAGAGGAAGGTAGTCATTGCCCATCTGAGACCCAGCAAGGAGGGAGACTCGGGGTGAATACCCCAATTTCATTCTTCCCTAAATTCCCATCTTCTGCAAGTGCCTTGCATCGATAGACTAAGCCCAATCATAAGCCCATGGATAGCAGTCCATAATGATCAGTGCTGGGGGCACAGA